GTGACTTGTCTCGCAATCGATCGAGCGACGAGCGTGCTTAACTACACGTCAGAATGACGGATCACTAGTTTTTTAATATACGATTATCCAGGATGCAAAGATTTTGTACGTTTACGTGTATGTACGTTTATCATTTGCGGCATATATTACGATAACACTCGTCCAAAATCAGAATAAGTCTTTTATTGTTACTTTCATAAATTGTTAATATAAAGTAGCTGTTTTCAGTGCTTCGCAAATCTATCGTTAACCGTTGGCTTATTATTTCTACCGTGAGTGGATCTAGAAGTTATTGCTTCGAGTACATTTCCCTATCCTTGCCATCCCAACGTGTGCAATACATGTTATATTTATTTTCTGTGTAAAAACGAATATGACGTTCGTTTTATGAACAATATGTTTCAGCGATAATTGCCAGAAATTCGGATGTCCGCGGTTAAGGATTAAAGAAGTAGAGATCTTCGAAATAAAACTTTTCGGGCGCGGTTCACGTGATTGAAACTGTCCTCTTTGTAACAACGGTTCCATAATTCACCGATGGACAATATTCAATTAAATCGGGTTCTGTATTTAATTGTACTTCTCGCATACATATTTAATCTACAAGCATATAAATTCGTAATGCAATCGTGAATAATTGGATCATAATCTATCGCAGTGCCGACGGTTAATAACCTTGCAGTTCATGCGAGATGTAAAGCCTAATTTTATCCCCTCGGAACCGTCGGCACATTTAATTCGAATTCTATAAAAACTCGAATAACCAGACGCGCAGGTATTACTTTCATTCACATCCCTGAACCGCGTAAAATTTTGAATCAAATAGAGCGTGGATGAAACCGATGAACGACGAAATATTCGAAGCTATTTCAACAAGTTCGGGCCGATTGGGATTGTTCGAAAGCCAATTCGACGCGAGAAGAAAAAAAGCTGCAAAGAACGTACGATCGTCCCATTTCTTTCAAAAAGTTATCTTGGCGTAATGGAAAAAAAGTATACACCGAACTTCGGCAAGAGATTAAAGTCGCTTTGACTGTCCGATCGTTCTGTTGCTAAAGTATAATACCATGGTCGAATGTGGGTATCGGAAAACGGCCGGGCGAGCGGCTTAAAGGCACAGCTATTTACCGTCGGACGGGCTTTAAATTACGCATTAGTCGCTTTCAGCGCTGGGCCAGGCAAGAATCAGAAATCAAGCCCGCGAATTAAAAGCTCGATCATCGTATACATTGCGCAATCAGTCAACAGTTGAAACCAAATAGAAAGTTCCGGGGCTGCGGAGCGCTCGTTACTTTTAGATAAGCATCGGCCGTATAGAGTGCTCAGCTGCGTCCCGCTCGGTACTCCGAGGGTTAATTCGAGGATCAACGTTTTCAAATTACTTGCAGTAAAAAATCCCCGGGAATCGCTATCGCAGGAGTCCACCAACGAACGAAATAACGCGGCTGGGATCGAAACGACCCTAACTGCTACGGGTATTATCAATTAAAGAAATGCTGCGCCGGGAACTATTTATTAGAACGGTGTTCATTAAGCCGCCCCTATTCGACTACACGCAAGATACAGTCTGGCAATTTTATTCCTCAATTTAACCCCGGACAGCGAGTCGTAACTTTGAAGTCGCACACCGATTTGTCCATGTTCTTTAATCTCGTGAAATTTTTAGCCACAGCGCCCTATACACTTGTTCTGTTGTTTCTTCTTCGCGATCAAGAAGATCGTGCGTCGCAACTTTTCAACCCCTTTGCGGACGGATTTCGACATATCGACGACATCAGGATTGCAAATTGTGTTCCAGAAGTTGGAAGCGTGTAATTCGATTCAACATTATCGAAGCCTTCGATTCGTAATGTAGTTTCCCGAGTTGCACTCTGAAAAATCCTCGTTCACGAGTCTCGTTAAATCTTACTACTACACGCCATCGATTAAAAAAATATGTAGATTCGTTGCGAGTTCATATCTAACAACCGGGTTTCCGCATCCGTTAATTTAAGAACGATGTAAAGACGCGAAAAATTCCGCGCATTAACGAAAGCCAACGGCAAATTAATTTCCTCCTCGAGAAATTTTCCAGCTTCTTCTCTACCTCAGCCTTTTACGAAATAATCCTCGAAAACGGAGGCTCGCGGAATAAGAAGAGCCGCAATTGTTGAGAAACATGTAGACACAAAATTGAATCTCCTCGCCGATGCAGCGCGGGGTAAGTGCATTCTCGAAACTCTTGCTCGCCCGAAGACCACGTTCGGGAGACCGAGGACTGGATCAAAAAGCGTGGCACGACCGCAGAGCGGCATCAAAGAGGCAGAGGCCTTGCAGCAGCACAGGGTGCGGAACATCGGGGCTAAACGCATAAGGGTTGAACAGGTCTGGCCGCGTCAGCCGTCAAGAATAGACAGTCGGTCGTCGATCACAAGGGCTCCCCCGGCCGCGGTTCCCGGCATCGACTTCCGCCGTGCGACGAGAGAACAGCGGTTTTACTTGTCCATGGGGTGTCTTGGCTCCCCTTTGCACCGAATTGTCCAAGACCCGGCGTGCAGCCCGTGTGTGCCCATCGCTAGGGAAGAGAACAGCGGCGGCGGGTGCAGGCGGGTACGTCGAGTAGACAGACAGAGCGGCAGAGAGCAAGAAGTAGTATCGGCGGAGAAGGAGGGAGCGAGCGATAGAACAAGAGAGATAGAGAGAGAGAGAGAGAGAGAGAGAGATAGAGAAAGATAAAGAGAGAGAGCAGGGGAGGGTACGATGGAGAGAGAGTATGAGAGAAAGGGAGGGAGCGAAAAGGGGGTGAGAGAAGGAGGAGAACAGGCAGAAGGAGGAGGAGGAGGAGATGCCAGAAAAAGACGCGGAAGAGGAAAGCGCCGGAGAGAGACGGCGAAGGAGAAAGAGCCAGAGGAGAGGAGCTGATGGGAGTGAAAGAGAAGCCGCGAGAGAAGAGCGGAGAAGGGAGAGAGGAAAGCGGAGAGAGGTGAGTGGAGAGAGGAAGGGAGCGGGGCCGACCCTGCGCGCAGCCTCCCCAGTCCACCCCGAAGATTCAGTCGTCGTGCGGCAGAGGAGGACCGAGGAACGCCCGGTCGAAGCACGCTGCTCCTCTCTCTGGACCCGTTTCGCTCTCTCTCTCTCTCTTTCTCTATTCCTCTTTCTCTCTCTCTTTTTCTCAACCCTTCGACCCTTTGTNCGCACACCGATTTGTCCATGTTCTTTAATCTCGTGAAATTTTTAGCCACAGCGCCCTATACACTTGTTCTGTTGTTTCTTCTTCGCGATCAAGAAGATCGTGCGTCGCAACTTTTCAACCCCTTTGCGGACGGATTTCGACATATCGACGACATCAGGATTGCAAATTGTGTTCCAGAAGTTGGAAGCGTGTAATTCGATTCAACATTATCGAAGCCTTCGATTCGTAATGTAGTTTCCCGAGTTGCACTCTGAAAAATCCTCGTTCACGAGTCTCGTTAAATCTTACTACTACACGCCATCGATTAAAAAAATATGTAGATTCGTTGCGAGTTCATATCTAACAACCGGGTTTCCGCATCCGTTAATTTAAGAACGATGTAAAGACGCGAAAAATTCCGCGCATTAACGAAAGCCAACGGCAAATTAATTTCCTCCTCGAGAAATTTTCCAGCTTCTTCTCTACCTCAGCCTTTTACGAAATAATCCTCGAAAACGGAGGCTCGCGGAATAAGAAGAGCCGCAATTGTTGAGAAACATGTAGACACAAAATTGAATCTCCTCGCCGATGCAGCGCGGGGTAAGTGCATTCTCGAAACTCTTGCTCGCCCGAAGACCACGTTCGGGAGACCGAGGACTGGATCAAAAAGCGTGGCACGACCGCAGAGCGGCATCAAAGAGGCAGAGGCCTTGCAGCAGCACAGGGTGCGGAACATCGGGGCTAAACGCATAAGGGTTGAACAGGTCTGGCCGCGTCAGCCGTCAAGAATAGACAGTCGGTCGTCGATCACAAGGGCTCCCCCGGCCGCGGTTCCCGGCATCGACTTCCGCCGTGCGACGAGAGAACAGCGGTTTTACTTGTCCATGGGGTGTCTTGGCTCCCCTTTGCACCGAATTGTCCAAGACCCGGCGTGCAGCCCGTGTGTGCCCATCGCTAGGGAAGAGAACAGCGGCGGCGGGTGCAGGCGGGTACGTCGAGTAGACAGACAGAGCGGCAGAGAGCAAGAAGTAGTATCGGCGGAGAAGGAGGGAGCGAGCGATAGAACAAGAGAGATAGAGAGAGAGAGAGAGAGAGAGAGAGATAGAGAAAGATAAAGAGAGAGAGCAGGGGAGGGTACGATGGAGAGAGAGTATGAGAGAAAGGGAGGGAGCGAAAAGGGGGTGAGAGAAGGAGGAGAACAGGCAGAAGGAGGAGGAGGAGGAGATGCCAGAAAAAGACGCGGAAGAGGAAAGCGCCGGAGAGAGACGGCGAAGGAGAAAGAGCCAGAGGAGAGGAGCTGATGGGAGTGAAAGAGAAGCCGCGAGAGAAGAGCGGAGAAGGGAGAGAGGAAAGCGGAGAGAGGTGAGTGGAGAGAGGAAGGGAGCGGGGCCGACCCTGCGCGCAGCCTCCCCAGTCCACCCCGAAGATTCAGTCGTCGTGCGGCAGAGGAGGACCGAGGAACGCCCGGTCGAAGCACGCTGCTCCTCTCTCTGGACCCGTTTCGCTCTCTCTCTCTCTCTTTCTCTATTCCTCTTTCTCTCTCTCTTTTTCTCAACCCTTCGACCCTTTGTCCCTCTCGCCCTCCCACCGACTGGCTCTCGATTCCTACCCTCTCCGGCTGGCGTCCCCACCTCTCCCTCCTCTCCCTCCGACGGTCGGACGCACGCTCGTTGCCTCCCTTCGGTCGGTGGTGCGTGGCACTACGCTGCGAGTGAAAACGGAGCCTGCGAGGCTGTCGGTGGTGTGTGTGCTCGGCGTCTCGGTCTACAGAGGGAATACTGGTGCGACCACGGTAAAATCACCGGCGAGAACCGAACTGCAACAGCAACCGGGTATCGGGCTATCGCGCGGAGGTTGCTGCGGCAGGAGACGAGGAGACACCGGGCCTCGAGGAAGCAAACTGTATTCGCCGGAGAGCGCACGGCGACCGTATTCGACGCCGATCCGAACGTCGCCGAACGTCGTCGCCGGTCTGGGGCTCTCTCTGGCTCGGCTTCCTCCTCCTCTCTTGCCCCGTCGATCTCCCCGTGTCTCTCCTCTCCTCTTTCCCTCTCTCTCTCTCTCTCTCTCTCTCGCTCTCTATCTCTTTTCTCTCTCTTTCTCTCTCCCTATCTCTTTACTCCCAACTGTCTCCTCTGCTATGCCTGTCTTTCGCCCACCCTCCGAGGCGACTCTTTACCTGCTCGGTACACCTCTGTCATAGCTTCTCTCTGTTTCGCGTCTCGTCACGGTGAAGGGTAGGTAACGATACGCCGCGGTCCTCGACGCAGTTGTGTGCTGCTGCTGCTGCTGCTGCTGCTGGTGGTGCTTGTGCTTTCCCGGCGGTGTCGGCGGTGCCAGTGGTGGTAGTGGTGTGTTGCCAGTGGTACAACAACGGTTCGGTGGTAGTGACGGTTTAAATTTCAGCCGCGTGCTCTCGGGTTCGCGTACGCGAGCCATTACACGGGTCCTCGGGCACTCTCTCGACGACCCGCCGCGCTCAACCCGCCAACCCTGGCTACACGACGCCGGTCACGGTCCACGGACCGAAATCTCGAGCCCGAATCTCCCACCGTCCCTACATTCTCGTCCCGCGGAAAACGCGCCGGAACGCTCTGGGTCGCGGCGGTTCGCGGCGGGTCGCGCCGGCCAAGGATTCGCCGGTATTTTTCCGCGTGCGTGGCATCGGGCCGGCACCGTATAGATTTTATCCGGTCTACCTGCTGGCTGGAAGCTCGAGCCGGAAGCAAAGGGACCCAGCATCGGTCCCACGATCCCTCGAGGCGCCGCGAATCTCGGTCCAGACGCCGCGAGCCGGCCGACGGTTGTCCGATTTTGCTGCCTCTGGAAAATTATTCCGTGCTGTGGCACGAGCGATACGTTTAAATACCGTGAACGTGGCCTGGTGATTTCAGAAGATCGAAGCTTCCGAACGTTATCGAATTTGAAACTGCTGTTTCCTGTTTATTACGTTTGAGTATCGTGCCCTGCAACGCGAGAGCAATAGGTCCAAATATCTCGGGATTAAACGATCTGAAAACGAATCTATTAAATCTGAATTGCTTACTTTGAAATGAATGTTCGTGACAAAAACTGGTGGCTGCAATCGAATCCTTTGACTGCGCCAACCGAAAGCCAAAAGCTTTTTGCAGCGCGATACTCGCAAGGCAATAATTCTGGCTGGCTAAAATTGCACGCGATCGAATCGTAGCCACGCTGAAAAAGTAACAATCGCGTTCTTAAGATCGGGAACGCGTCGATACTTCGGCTCAGCTGTTTCATTTTGTCGGAATAACTAACATCGATCAAAATTCTTTGCCCTGCATCTGAAATTTCTCGTTGAAACGCGAGAACATTAACGCTTCGACTGCCGCGTCGATCACATACGAACGACACGATTGTCTTAACAAACTTGGAACTCGACGTTTAGCGCAGTCTATTAAGTAAATCGAAATTAGATCGCATCTACAAGATTCGAGAGTACTTACGCAAGTAATTTCTATAATAAACCTGGTCTCCTTTGTTCTTGCATTAGGAAATAGCCTGTTCCGACCTCGCGTGACTTTTCTAGACATCGCTGTGCCAGTCGATCGTGTTCGAACGATTTTCTATCGTGTCCACGATCGTTACGCACGCGGCGTGTCATCAGTCTTCCCGCTTTGAATGGACATTACGCACACCAGCTGCGCGATTAGCCTCGAACGAATCGAGAAAAGAAAGATATTGCCTGCCGTTTCTCGCAGCGGATAGGCAAAACTTTTCTATCGCGCGATGATCCGCTCGATCCACTGATCACGATATTCTCCGAGCAACTGTATCTGGCTCGCGCAGGATAAGCACTCGGTCCAGACGAAGGCAATTACCGGAGTGAACCCAGCAAAGCCCGGACGTGGCTTTAAGCCGCGAGCGCGGAGTACACGCGCGGAAAGACGCGACGGAATGGCCATCGCGGATAGAGAACGTCGGGATAACGGAGGCCGACGGTTCGCGGCGGAAGTTCGCGGAAGTATATAGATAGGTTCGATCAAACTTCCGGCGAGGATGTTTCTGTTTGGCGATGAGCGAGAAGGGGACGGCTCGCGTCGGTTGTCCGAAGTTAGCGATCGCGGATCGTTGAATAGCCCGGTTGGTCCGGTGCCAACGTTTTAGATGAGAATCGTCATAGCTCGTAGGCACGGTCCGACGACCGGAGTGTTGATCTGCCGAGGAATCGGTATTCAACGGTTCCTGGACGGTCGTCCCAGGCTTTCCCGAAACGGCCGTGGAGCGACTCGCTCGCCAAGACACGTTTGCCATCGACGCGGCGCGGCGGGGCAAAGCTCTTTCCGGCTCGAATTGTTCTTTCTAGCTCGGCCTTTTTAGATCGTTCTCCCCGGATTGTTCTTCCCGGCTCCTCCTTTCGTGAACGTTCGATTAGACGAAACAACGTGATCGATCACCCGTACGTGGCGGACACTTTCATCGACTTGGCCGGACGGCGTGCTCCCGTCCGAGGGGAAAAGCTCCGTTCGAAAAGCTCTGGGAAGAGAGTCTATCTTATTCGCGGACAGGCGAAACTACGCGAACGCGGTGCCGGATACGCGAGCCGGGTATACGTGGCCCGTTTGAAAGCTTGTTACATTAGATGGGAGTATGGTATCAGTGCTGCCGGTATCACTACCGCCAGCCCCTATCGCCCTCCAGCCATGGGGGAAACGTAAATACGCTATAAACGTTACCGATTCGCCGATAGCCGAACTCGGGCGCAGCTACTTTGCCCAGGGAAACACGGAAACGAGGATGCGCGCAGGTATACCGGGTGGCCGATCTTCTGCGCGTCGAGATACCGGCGCGATACTCGGACATCTCGCGAAATTTCGTAAAATCTTGTAACCGGTTCCTCGAGGCTTTGCAGAATATAAAGCCCCGTTGGTTTAATAAAAAAATATCGATCCTTTGCGCGTCCTGGGACCGAATTCTCGTCGCAACGTATCCGCTTGAACCGAATTTCCATTGAATCGATCGAGCTTCGAAGAGCTGAACGGCTAATCGGCGGAATGAAGTTTAGCGCCGCAAATTAGCGTGATCTGGTGGAGTTTTTGCGGGCCGTCTCTTCAGGTAACGAGACTTTTCTTCGCGTCGAAGCTAATTTGGTCGTAATTAGACATTGCTTTATTAGCGAACTTTCGCGAACGGGAAACAGGTTAGAGCGCGTGGCACTTGTACACAATGATAATCAGAGCCCCGGTCGTAATGGGACGCATTCGTGGAACGTTGCAATGTCGTACGAATCTGGAAGAGCAACACAACTGGTTCACTGCCGACCGCGTTATGAAGATAAATGAATAAGATTTTCGTAATTGGTCGAGGAGTGGCTCCGTGACATTCTCGCGGCGATAATTGTGTTAGTTTCGTCGGGACTGTGCGCGATACGGTGGATAGATCGCGGGTTTCGTGCTTTCGCCACAGAAACGACCAGGTGACATTCGAGTCTTTAACGGGCTCCTGTTTCTCCGTAATCGATGCGGACAATTTTTATCGTGCTTAGAAATCGGCAGCCTTGGGTTCTTACGTTCCACGAAAGATTGTGGTTTTATTGGCCAAAGAGTAAAATGAATGTTCCGCAACGTTTCTCGCAGATGAATCGATCTCCTCTTCGCAGACTCGGCGAACTATCGTCCCTGAGTGTTGACGGCCGGAAATTAAGAAGTTGATGCAAACTCTTGACAATCTGGGTCGCTCTTGACCCGGCCATCACCGCTCGTTCATTAAAAATGATAGAAAAATGCGAGGCTGTGAGCTATCGCGCACAGATGCAGAGCAAATCGATTCTCTAGCGATACAACAGCTTCGAAAATGAAATTGTTGTTGGTCGATCGGCTTCTTATTGGAACGGAGAGACAATTCGAGGGTCGCCGATTGCACCACATTTCTGCGCAGCTTCTTTTTAATTATCCCCCGCGGTTGTTTTCGAAATTTCGCCGCCAACTTTTCCAATTTGTCCCGCAATTCTCGACTGCGCCGTCCTAATCTCCCGTTTATCAATCACAACCGGCCGGCGAACCGTTCAATCGAATGCAAATATTCGACCGGGGCCGTAAAAGGCCGGATACAATAACGATACCGCGCGGAAAAAAAGAACAGAGCGAATCATAAAATCGTCGGGAAATGAATATTTTCGCGGCGTTCTACAATAATGCGCGCGTACGTGGTATCGACGTTCCCCGTTAATCAACGTTGCTCGCGTTTTTCGGCAGCATAATATTTGTAGAACAGCGAGGAAAAAAGGCTGCACAAAGCTCCGAGGTATCTCGGTGAAATCAGCAAACATGTAAGTATCCGGATACTTTTGAACGCCCGGCGTGTGTTTGCATTTCGAAGTGTCACCCGACTTTATCGATACAAGTCTGATGTTGACGCCCCATTGAATTTATTGTACGCCGAATTCAGTCGGCAGTTCGCCTGATTTCCGCGGATTTCCTTCGCTTCTGCATTGTCCGTGCAATTCTCTTTTTATTCTCAAAATTCGTCTCTCAATTGTCGCTGATGTTCACGATTTAAACCATCGTTTCAGCATTATAAACTACTCAAATGTCGCAAGTTAATAAAGATCCGCGGTCTATAGGTAAATATAGGGTTTCTTTTCCAAATTGCTACAAAAAGAACCGTTCGATATTTCTCAAAGTCGTTTGCTTTATTAAAGAGAGTAATTATGGAACACCCGGCCGGTGCATAAACTGCTCGAACAAAAGGAATGGGAAGTCGTGGAACGGCCGGCAGACCTTTCGCTTAATCATTTGTCGGGACGCGAAAAATTCTCTATCGAAAGTGTTCCTCGGAACACGAATATCGCATTGATGTTTAATTAATTGGGTTAATTATCGACCCGCCGACGACGGTAGGAACGTTTTAATTAACACTGGAACCATGGATGCGGCGATCTGTTTGGCCGTGCTCGCACTTCGGCAAAAATAGTTAATTGATTATGAAACTATATTATTCAGTAATTGATTCTGAATGCCGCTCTCGACGAGACGTTGTTTAACGATAATGTTTGCTAAAAGCGTCCATAAAATCGAGCAAATCGAATGATTCCGGCGATGCGAGGAATGGAGTAGCTGGCTCCTGGGGGTCCGGTGGTAAACTGGCCGACGACGGAAAGCCAAGCAGTTATGCGAGCAACGGAATCGTTTCTAAGTCCCTGTTAAAGCTGTTTATCCGGACGCCAGAGAATTACTTTGTCAGATTTAGGTGTTGATTTATCGGGACACGAATATTTTTCAGCAACGCGTTCGCGATTTATTCGCGGAATCTCTCTTTGTGTGGTTACAAGAGCAATTGCACCGTGTGCCATGTAAAATTAAAATTTATCCGTCTAAATTACACGCATCGG